AAACTTTCAAGCCTCATAACTCGGAAGATACTTAACGAAAATACATTTGTTTATAGTGTTTTGGAAAGGTCTCGAGATAAGCTACAAGAATATGCAATAAAAAGTAGGCAGTTCCATTTAAAAAAGTTAATGTGATTTCGATCTGACCTTGGCGACGCCATCGAAGGTCAAACTGATAAGATCAGTAAATAGATCTTTTGAAACCCTACAACTTTTATCTGAAACATTTTTTTCTAAAATGCTTAGTTTTCGAGATATTTCACCGGTCCGGGACTTTTTGAACACCCTGTATATATATATTCAAGGAAATTACAAGTCCTTTTCAGTCAGGCACAGAAACATTTCAAAACAATTAAAGTATTCTACTTCAGTAAGGTCGAACATGAAAAAACGGTTAGAAAATTGAACAGAAGATTCCAAACGGCCATACCAATATGTAATATTTCGAAAAGTCATTCTTTCACGGTTTTGTCAGAGAAAACATTATTAATAAAACGGTATTCCAATGCTCCTTAAGGAGTACCAATTTTCTTGAAAGAAGTAAAGTAAATGAAGGTTAAAGAGGTGTTCTTGACGAGCTTTGAACATCGCTTTGAGAACTGCTAACCTTAGAACGCTTATTGTTGAATCTAATGATAATACTCTAGAAGATCTCAATTGATTTGCAAATGCATAAAGGGTGCATTTAAGGTTTTAAGGTCGTAATCAGCGACCTTAAGAACCTTGGGTTGATTATTTTGGAGCCGATTTGAGTAATCGTATGGCGTATAGGAAGTCACATACGTATTTTTCCATCGTTTTTTTCAGTTTCCGCTGCCATATTAGAGCCGCCATGATGAATTTCTCAAAAGGCCAGATGGCAAACGACATTAGACATGATCACCTAAAATTTGAACCACGGTTAACTTCAATCGATCTATACAAATTTTGGACAGAGGGGATGGGCGGTTTGACGAAGAATGACTTATATATACAGGGTGTTTTTTTTAACTTGAGACTGCTAAATATCTCGAAAAATAAGCATTGTACGATAAAAATGTCCCAAGTAAACCATCAATAGTTTCGAGGGCGCAATTCAATCCCACAAAAATTATCCATCTCCCGCCCCCTGGGGATGGGGCGGGGGGTAACTTTGAAATCTTAAATGGGAACCCCTACTTTTTATTACAGATTCGGATTCTACATCCAAAAACACGTAACTTTTGTCTGAACTTTTTTTTTTCTATTTCTGATAGATGGCGCTGCATTCGGCGAAAATTGGGTAACTTTTGTTTTCTTTAAAGGAAATCCCCTATAATGACGCTACGTCGAAGAAAAGTAACTTTTGTCGGAAACATGTTTTTTCGAATTATCGTAAATATCTACGATAATTTTTTTATCTGTTTTAATTAAAAAATGAAAATAAAAGTTACAATCTCCAATGGCCTTGACCTTTACAAATGTTACATAAATGATGTTAAAAATTCAAGAGGTTTTAGTCGTCATTTCGATGTGGTCATTTCCAAATGGTCCACTCACGATCTTTCAAAATTTAGTGTTAAATTCATAACATATCCAAATAATGTGATTATGTTATTTGAATATTTCGTGTTAAATAAATATTTAACATTTCGTAGTATTAAAATAACATAACTTATGAGTAACACAAAGTGGAACACAAACTTCGATTTTCTCTTCTACAGATAAATAATCCATACCTGTGGAGTGTAAGAATAGCACGAATCGAAAGTTAGTCGCAATACGAAATGGAAAATGCTTTAAAGTATGAAAAAATAATTTGTTGAAATAACTCAACTACAATAGTGCTATTTATCCAGACTCGTCCTACACAGTTTGAAAGTTTGTGTTCCACTTTGTGTTACTCATAAGTTATGTTATTTTAATACTATGAAATGTTAAATATTTATTCAACACGAAATATTCAAATAACATAATCACATTACTTGGGTATGTTAAGAATTTAACACTAAATTTTGAAAGATCGTGAGTGGACCATTTGGAAATGACCACGTCGAAATGACGACTAAAACCTCTGAATTTTTAACATCATCATTTGTATAAACATTTGTAAAGGTCAAGGCCATTGGAGATTGTAACTTTTATTTCCATTTTTTAGTTAAAATGGATAAAAAATTATCGTAGATATTTACGATAATTCGAAAAAACATGTTTCCGACAAAAGTTACTTTTC